CTGGACCTGGTGTCACACAGCGGGTGTGTGGCACCGCCTGTACTCTGTGTCACACAGCGGGTGTGCGGCACTGCCTGTACCCCGTGTCACGCAGCGGGTGTGTGGCACCGTCTGTACCCCAGTGTCACGCAGCGGGTGTGTGGCACCGCCTGTACTCTGTGTCACACAGCGGGTGTGTGGCACCGCCTGTACCCCGTGTCACGCAGCGGGTGTGCGGCACCGTCTGTACCCCAGTGTCACACAGCGGGTGTGTGGCACCGCCTGTACTCTGTGTCACACAGCGGGTGTGTGGCACCGCCTGTACTCTGTGTCACACAGCGGGTGTGCGGCACCGCCTGGACCCCAGTGTCACACAGCGGGTGTGCGGCACCGCCTGTACCCCGTGTCTGGCAGCCCAGGGAAATGTTCCCATGGAGCAGCTCTGTGGCTTTTCTCCAGGATTTAGGGATTCGACTTCCATCCTGCAGAGAAGCTCCTACTCAAAGTTAGCTGAAGTCAAAGTCAAAGCCAGAGGCCGTTCGGACCCGAGGCGCTATCCACCTCTGCTTCTCCTCCACAAGCGCAGGGGACTTGCCCTTCCATAGGGAGCAGCACACAGAGCTCTGTGTAAGCTAATGGCCAAGCGCTGTATCCACCCAGGAAGTGGCAGACCCAGGGAATGTGAAACTGCCTTTCCTTCCTCCCTGGAGCATGTCTTACTAAGCAGGTTTTAGGCTGCTCTGTTTAGGACTGTCTATTCTGCACCGTTTCGGAGCGACTCCGTTAAAATGTGCTACTGCCAAACATTTTAATTCTTTTGCTGCCCCCCTTGCTTTGTTCTTGTACCCATTTCAAGCAGCGCCACTCAGTTTCCTGCTTATGCTTTTAGTAACTTTGTGCTTTAGACCTAAATTTTCAATATGCATGCCTGCCTCGGGATGAATTAGATGAAAAAATTTCAGCTAAATGTCTTTGGTTAAGCCTTAATACATGTATTTTTTTTCTCAAGTTAAATAATAGCAAGGTTTTCTGTGGGATTTCAGCGACTTTGCCGTAGGAGCCTGAAATGTCTTAGTGCTTGGCTCTTTGAATCTGGGATAGTATTTTGCCATGTCTTAAGAAAATCTTCCCAATTAGCACCGCAATCTCTATTCTCCTGAATCTGTCCATCTGTTGGACTGCGACAAACGAAGCAGAAATCCAGCAGTCTGTGGCTGCATCAGCCTGTATCATCCCCACAACCCATCCAGCCTGATCAATACAGCATGGAAGGAGTTGCATGGGAACAGTAACATGGGATAACAGAGCTGGAAGGGTGGCTACGGATACGGTCTTTAAGGCTCGTACACCACGGTCTCGAGCTACGATTCCACAGATGATCTGAATTTTGCAACTTTCAGGATTTGAGTTCACAGCTTTAGGAATATTATAGCAGCATCTTTTGAATGTTATTACATATGCAACAGTCACTATTTAAAAGCACTTTCAAGCAACAGAATTACATGGTGTCCCATGTATCACAGCATTTTAGAGAATAACCATGCACTCCAAAGCTATAACTATGGGAATTTTAGATTTGATTATGATCATGCCACAAAATAAATGAATCCAAAGAGAACACATACTCTAACTTATTTACACACACACACACACAACATAAAATAACACTATTTTGCACCTCTTTTTAGGTCTGAAAAATCTGCAGGGCACCGAGTGAGTTGGTTGCGCAGCCGTGTGCTTATCGCTCAGTTCACATCTCGGTGTTTGCTTAGGCACAATTAAAGCAACGGAATAGATGCATGATCCATAAAGGCAAACAGTACACTTAATTAGATATATTTCATGACTAAACAAAGCTGGGTAGATATTTCTAGCCTTGCATAACCCGAGTAGGAAACCAAACCACGTGTTAGTGGGAAGACATTTTGCACCATATTTATAAAGTCAAAGACTCCTTTAACAGCTCATAACAACAGAGATTCTCATTTGTTGTTCGTCTTGTCTCCAGGCCTCCAGAATAAGAAAGAAAACAAGATCATATATCAAGGCCTTCCAGAATCTTTACGACTTCCTTTTATTCACAGCAGTTAAGAGTAAGCGGAAAATATGTTTAATATAAAACAAAGCCACATATTCTGCCAATGCCAGCCTCTACTTTCACTCTTTATTAACTGTTCATTGAAGAAAAATGCTGAACCCTCCGAGGGCCCTGAGCACTACTGGCATGGGACCCTCCTAATTATTTCTTACACAGAGGCAGGAAATTACCTCTCCAGACACTGGATATGAAAAAATACCAATAAATTTTGGGGCTGGTGTTAAAAAGAACACATCTTCCAAGTTGGCAGGAGGAAAAGCCCGTTTTAAAGTCATCTCCTTTGCATTCTGCATCAATCAATACATGCAAAATGCCGAGGGCGACAAAATACACAAAAAGTTGCAGCAGGGGAACCTAAGGGAGATTGGACAAACCTTGTGGGACAGAAATTAAGGCCCAGGTTTCTAACTCCACACTACATTTCCAAGCTCACAGCACTGAAATAAGCAAAGGTAAGGTCAGACTTCAGAGACTCCAGAGCAAAGCTTCAAACCATATGGATTTGTCAAGACTTTATGGCACATAAACTATATACAAGTAGCAAGGCAAAATATAGAACATTTTCACAAACGTACAGGAATAGATGTGAAATGAAACACTAAGGTTAAACCCTAACTACAGACACATAGGAAATGCTCTTTTGAAAAAAAAAAAAGAATAAAGCAACCTACTTCCTGAAGAAGTGATGTTAAAGATGAAACAAAATTAAATTAGATATGGGCACTAAAAAATCATTTGTACTGAATTACGTTGTTTGACTGCTTATGCTTCTTTTATTCCACTTGAAAATCTGCTCTAAGACTTGCTCAAGTTCTATGGATTTTGCTAGACTCAATCTCTTCTTTTATTCACCTGAGAGAATAAGCAGTCAAGACTATTTTAATTTCCATATCAGAATATACACATTTATTTAATAACTGTTGCTTTGAAGCTTCGCTTTTCCACCTTGAACTTAGCTCCGCTCTCCTACTTCACCCTGGGCCACATGTCCAGGCCCTGGATCACCTGGATCACCATCCGTGGGGCTTCCTCCCCTTTCTCAGTGACCTCCCTACACGAGGGACCCAAAACTCAGCACTTTAAACGAACACTCTCAATTCACAGAATTATCACTCGCTGAGCAGAAACTTGGGAAATTTGGAAAAACACTCTTGCTTCAGAGGTGCCCCTCTTATCACTTTGGAATAAGCACTCACCTTTTTTCTTTTTTTTTTTAATCTGAAAAAATGTCTTGCCCCAGGTTAGGTATATCAAAAGTCCTTGTTTCCACCTCACAACTGAATAGCTTCTAATAATGTTTTTTTTTTTTTCTTCAGAAATATCTACTTCTGTACTATCTTTTTGGTAGTTTTTTATTGAATATATTGTTAAATTACGTGGAACACCAGATCACTGTCATACAAGCAAAGCTGTCTTCACAGAATCACGGAATGGTTAAGGTTGGAAGGGACGTCTAGAGATCATCGAGTCCAACCTTCCTGCAACATGCTGCCTTGGGACGTCTTTATTTTACACTCCATGAGGTTGCAGTCCTTTCCCTGACTCAATACTAATCTCAACCTCGGCCTGAATCGGCAGCCACCTACCTGAGGGCTTCAACATGAACCCCCTCCCAGAGCTCAGCTCCTGAATCCGGCACTGGCTCCAGCACGAGGAACGCTGGCACTGCACACACACTTCCATTTTCAATAGGATCGATTTCCCCGCCCAAAGACATTTTGACCATCAACTGACTGTCCTCAAGTTTGGGAAGGCTGTTTCTGTGCTTGGTGTGCACTGCCCCACAAGAATTAAACTCCTGGAGTTCACATTCAGTTAGCTTTTGATATAGGTATTTTTGTCTGTGATATTTCTCTCATGTCCCGAGTCATAGTGAGGTCACTGTTTTCAGCAAGGGAAAAGGCTGAATGTACATTTTTGACTACACACTGCAACTCACCAATTTCTCCTCTAAAAACAAAACAACACAGCCCTGATTTGATCCTGTTCACTGCACTGGGACCAGATCTTGTAATGCCTTGATTGATTGAACTGTTAAATCAAAGGAAGATTGTTTTGATGGGCAATGACAAAGCATGCTCTTCAAAGAAAAAAAATAGTTAAGAATCCTTCAACTGTTTGAGTGGCAAATTATTCTTTTTCCTTTCTTTTCCTGCCTTTTTTTTTTTTTGTTTCATACTCACATCCTATTGATTATGTCTTATTTTTACCTCTAGAAAAAAAATACCTTCTGGGATGCAAATGCAACGTGACCTCAGTTTGACTGCCTGTGTATTTATTTATGTTCTGACTTCAGTGTTTTGGGATAAACACTAGACGAATGGAACACAAATTAAATTAAACTCATCAAAGGTACAGCACTAAAACATGAACTTAAAATATGAGGGAACACACATAGGCAGAAGGAATGGTTCCTTGGTTGATCCTTTTTCTTTTCTCTGAATGTATCATAAAAGATGTTTCGTGACTGAAATAACATTTTGGCTTCTTTCATGACTGCAAAGAAGGGTAATTAAAACTGTCAAGAAAACACATTGAACAGCTGTATATTGTTAACAAAAGCACCATTACATGACTCTCTCAGAAAAAAAAAGGCAATTTAAACATTCACAATTCCTAGAAGTTAGATATTCTTCCAAGCTCCAGTAAGATAACAATTTTTTTCCTATAAATCTTGGTTGTGTACCAGTCATATTTTCAATCAGCAGCATGTTCTAGTTTGTAAACAATTCCACATATTTAAGGAAAAGTAGATGATGGTAGCAAAGCTATGCTGACTGAAAACTGAGTCAATGAGATTTTTTTAGCTATCTTTTAAGCCAGGAATAAACATATTCTTACACTGTGGGGACACTCAAAAACCACCTGAAGGCAGAGTAGTTCTTCCAGCCTGTACTGGCCAGGATCATTAAGGAATACTTACTCATCGAAGATCAGGTCTGGAGCAAAATAGAGGAACTGGCTGTTTGTGTGTTTGTACGATCTCCAACTCAAGGCAAACGATGACAGACACATCCATGAATACTGAATTAGAGTAATTTGGTCCTCGAGAGGCAAGTTTCTAAATCCTAGAGAACAAACAGAAAACGCACATGAGCTACGCTGGGCTCTACATCGGGCTTGGCCAAACCAGCACAGAATACATGATGCAGTGTTTACTCTGCCACTCGAGAGCAAAGCTTCCACAAAGCGCAATTATGAAAAACCAAACTCAGTTTTTCACTCCAGTGATATAACAGGTTTTCTTCGTAGGAGGCTATTATTTAAAATTTAAGCTGTTTAAGTATCAGCCACAGACATATGCAGTGAACATTAAATTGATCACAAATGCAATAATCTTCTATCAGATGTCCATCTTACTGCCCATATGTGGGTTTTCAACACAGCCCACAGATTAAAGATGAAATTTGTCAGGCGAATGGTACACTAAGCTACTAGGAAAGCTGACGAGAAATTTCACCAAATGAATCACATTCCTACCTGGAAGTATCTTTGCCCACTTCACCACCTGAATCATTTGCTTGCCAGCCAGGCGGTTTAAAGTGGAGAGCAGGTGCTCTGCTGTGTCTGGCTTTGAGCTGTCGTATCCTGCGTACACAACCTCGGGCTCAATGCTTTCAAGGATCTTCGCGGGAGAGGGCGTAAGTGCTGGTGAAAGAGCAGACATGTGGGGAACAAGGGCCGTGTTGACAGGCGGCTCGGTTACTGGAGCGATGTACGGAGTCCCTTCCTCCGGGCTCTGCGGGGGCGGCTGCTGTCGCTGCTGCGGCTGCTCCTCGTGCATCCCTTTCAACTTCCCCAACTTTTTGGACTTCCGGGCTGCAAAGACAAACAGAACAGAAGCCAAAAGCCAAGTCAGTGAGAAGCCTGGTGTACTCTTGGCTTTTGGAGACATCTGTCAGAAGCACCATGTCAAACTTGCCGAGTGAAACGGATGCAGAAATCACTATAAGAAATACATCACCGCTGCAGCATTCCTACCCTGGAGAAAGGACCACAGAAACACACGAGGTGGCTTTTGGTCCATCACTGCATATGAAAAGGGAGAAGTGCCAGGAATCTGCATTTCCGTCTGTCTCTATGCAGATACACACACAGCAGCCTAGTCACCGTGGTCGTGCTGCTTAAACGTTTCAGAAGTTTGTTTGTTTTGTGGCTTGCATGAATCATTTATCACTTACACGTCTGTAATTCACATTCTCCATTGCACTTGGTAATCAGAAGTAATCTCACTGGCAGTGCCTAAGATGAGCAGCCCTGGAGCCCTGCGAGGCCTCTGTGTCCTCGTGCACACCCTGGCTGTGCCTCAGCTGCAGATGCGGCCAGCGCATTCGGAACAGCCGAGTCTCGGCAGAGCCCTTCGCTTCTGCTGCCGCTTTCATACATCCTTCTTCTTGGCTAGGTTTGAAACAACTTTATGAATATTTAACCAAGTAAAACAGAAAATAAGGAGCCTTGGGTGACACCTCTCTCACTGCTATCATTATTTCTCTAACGATGTGCCGCCTTCCTTCTTTTTTGGTTTCAGTGCTACCCTCCCTATTTTTCTTACGATGTGTTCCTGGAGACATCAATGCCAGGAGGCAGGCACCCTGCACCCTTAGTGGAGATGCCAGCCCTTCTCCGTGGGTCCCCTTCCCAGCCCCGCCATGTGCAGCACAGGTACGTAAGCAGGCAGAACGCCCTGCTTCCTGCCCGGCAGAAACCTCTAGTGGGGCGACAGAAGAATACAAAATAAAGAGCAGGACAAGTAAGTGAGGTGGGCAAACCAAAAGCCCACGAGCATGACCCAGGGGTGCAGTGGGAATGTCTCCCCCTTGCTCTAATAGCTCATTGACTAGTCTACGTTTTTGAGACCTAGGAAGTATTTTCCACTGATTCCAATGGATGGGGAAAAAAATATTTATTCATTTTATTTCTTGTATTTAACTTTAGGTCAGTCTTCTGCCTTGATAAAAACATATTTTAGCACAATGCTTCTCTCATGTTTAGGGCATAACATAACCAGAACAGGCAGCAGAGCCTCCTCTGTGTTACCCTCCCTGTTCCCTCTACCGCTTCAGCATCATGGCTTTATCTGCCACTAGGGTCCCCCAAGGATCTAAGCTCCCTGGGCGGCCCTCCCTGACCGTGTCCCCCTCCAGCCGTGGCCAGCTTCCTGGGCCCCCAGCTCACTGGAAGCGACGACTCTCAGGATGGTGCCGCTGGCTGCTCCTGCTGCAGGCCTGGGGAGGTTCAAGCCACAAGGGATCACTGCGGTCACGTCATTTGGCTTTTAACCAGTGCAGGCCAAATATGCTGGTGCCACGATAAACACAGCGCCAGCTAGGGACAGAGACAGCCTCTTATTTGACGTTGTGTGAAAGGCAGGGCCAGCTGAACGCTCTCCCTGTACCCATTCAGACCGGTGCATCAAGGTACTGAGCACGTTTTTAGAAACAGAGTGCACGGAAACCATAGAAAAGGTAAGGAAAGCAATCTTCAAAATCCCTAAATAACGAACTACATGTACACGTTGACAGCTCTTTCAGGGTAACTGCTCTCAAATACATACTTTGTTATCTATCTATATGCTGCTGAACTCCTGTCTGGACTTTTATCTTCCTGTCTCTTGATTATTGCAACATGTCCTTTTACAGGCATCAATAAACCCAGCTTATCTGGCTCCTTCGAGAACACTACAGCAAACAGCCTTAGTCCATCCCTTGTCCCAAGTCCAGCTTCTCTAGACTTCCCCTTCACCAATTCCCCTCCCTGTTTCCTATCTCCTTAAAGGAAGGCGCCTTTGCTGCATTCAGTCTGGCCAACCTCAGTCTCTCTTCCCCATTATCAAATTGTTGGCTCCCACCTCTGCTCCGCACGCCATGCCAAGACTTCCCAGGAAGTTTTCAAAACAAGCACTTTGTGCTTGCCACAATTTCTCTTACAAGGTTTGTGAAAAAAAAACCAAATCCCCGTAAAGATCCAGGCTACTGCTGCATTTTCTTCCTCAAACTCCACCTTATTTTAGGGAAGCCTCGACTGCCGCGGGGCAGATCCCTGCTTCCCACCGCAGCCAGCGGTACCTCGGTTTCCGTAGGATTGCCGGCCAGCCGACGCACGCCCACACCCTCGTGGGCCAGGATACAGTCGCACGGGGCTCAGGACAATACCCGCCCCAGCACAACAATAGCCTGTTGTTCTCCACGCTTCCTTATTATCCACAGCACCTTGAACTCCCAGGCGCTGGCTCACCCCGAGTTCCAACGAGCGCTTATTTGGCGGAGAAAATCCAGGAGATTGCTGCATAAAACACTAATGTTTCACTGTAAAATAGCCATATTTAATGTAAACACTGGCTGCAGCAGCAAGACATTATATTCGGGTTTCGAAGGGGACAGCCAAGAGCCGGAGCGCCTTCCCGGCCTTGTTTGCGCGCCAACGCCAACACGGGCTCTGCGTCATTCCCATGCGGCAGCGGCGGGACGGACCCAGCGGCAGCGGGAGCTTCCTTGTGGCTCCAGCATCCCGGAGCTCCACAGAGGATCTGCAGGGCACTCCGGAGAGCCATCTCCAACTCCTGCCCTTTCCAAACACTGGGCACCGTTTTACTAACTCATCTGCAGCATTTTGGGGCTTCCAACAGCTCCATCGTTTCTCTATTCTTCTGAGCAGTCAGACCAATTGAGGCAGGCTGATTGTTTTAATACAGGAATTAAACACGCAAACAAAACCGTACCAGCCCAATTCAAATTCAGCTGCAAATTCTATTAATTGTCCATCCATCCAAGACTTCCTGCTAATCTGGACGTGAAATGTTAGAACAGATCATGTCGGGGAGACCCTGCAGCCACCATCATTGGAGGCTATGAGAAGCAGCAAGACAAACAGACATCAGGACAAGCTTTGCTACAGCTGATTCTGTCTCGAGGGACAGGCTAGATGAGAAAGCCCCTCACAGCCCCTTCTTATTTCTTACTTTCTGTCACAGAATTCCCAGGAAAGCTCATACGGACAGTCCGGCCTGCTCCTGCCGCAAGGAAGCTGCAGGATTTGCCACCCTCTGCTGCCCTGTACTGCCTGGATGCAGACGTCCCTTCTTCAAGAGGCAGCTTCTGTTCTTAGCACCCAAAAAGCCATTTTACAAAGCAGCAGCTGATCAGACATTTTGTTAAACAGGCTTTCCTCACGCTGCAAAGCAAGGCGCAGGGAGGGCCACACAGCCAAGGCAGACAACTCGCCAATGTAATTCTGAGAAGTAAGTGAAAATGCAGCATTTGCTGCAGTTCTACCTACGGGAGTCCATACAGGGAAATCACTGCATTAAATATAGTTTGCATTTACCTTAGAAGGGCAAAGCTGAACTTTACATATTTTTTTCAAAAACTAAATCCCAAGAGCAAAGCGAGGATGGCCAAGTTCAGTGGAATCCTTGATGATAAGTTAACAGAGCTGTTGGCCACTAAAGAAGAGTTTAAAAATAAAGCCTGAAGGAGTAGATAGAGATTAATGTTTGCTGTTATTATTCATTAAGTTTTATCAGGCCCTATTTTTTTGTGTTATCAAAACGGGACTAAAAATAAAGAACTTTACATATCTTTCATGTTTGCGGAGGGAAAAAAACAGAATAAGAAATGTATTGGTTTAACAACTCTATCAAGGATCTAGCAACACAGATAACTGATTATATACTATTAAGACATAATTTTTATGTTCCATTCTCTATGGGTTTTTCATTAAAAGAAAAGAAATAACATTCTTCCATGTATTACACTGGCATAAAAATGTGTTTTAGTTTCATTTTCTTCCATTATAATGCCTTTAAAATGAAGCTGAGAAAAACATTACTGCTTGACAGTCATGTTTACAGTGAGGAAAACTGTATTTTTCATTTGGCTTCATGCCAGTGCTCTAGCTCAACTGGTTTGGTAACTCCCACAGAAACCAACAACTGAAGATTAAATACAAGCTCAGAGAAGTGCTCTTGAGTTTAGCTTTTGAAGGTGTTTTTCACATTTCCTCGCTAATTGGAAAAGCAACTGAACCAAAGCTGAGAAACTCCCCTCTGAACAGAGGGGTGAAGAAAGAACCTGCCAGAAACCCCGCTTCTTGTGCTGGGAATGGTTCGGGAGTCACCAGAGGGGCACCCGGCTCCACGTGCACCTACATGGAGCTCCGAGCCGGGCCCCACGGCTGCCCGGGGTCCCTGTGCTCGGGCGCAGCCCCAGCTCTGCCAACATCTGCCACCAGCGCCAGCACTTAGAAGGCCAGAAAACGCTTCCCCTGTTCCACATTAACCACTTCATTCCTGGGGATGTGCTGGGGAGAACCGACACGGACAAACTCCCGAGATGCCGTGGAAAAGTGTTCTGGAAGAAGCACAAAACGTCACGTTGTGCAGTGGAAGCCTGCTCAGTGATTTGGGGTAAGGAGGGGACTCTGGCCGCAGCGCAGGCAGGGACTGCTTGCGATCATCTCCAGCGGCTCCAGGGCTTCTTGCACCTGGAGCTCAGCATTGCTAGAGCCAGGAACAGCTCTGTAATCCTTGTCCTTTAAATCACCTCAGATCACTTACAGTGGGAGGAAAACAAAAGCAGTGACAGGCATGCTGCAAAGATACCTCAGGTTCATGCCTTAAATATCTTGTTCCAAGTGCTTGGAAGCCCTCAGTGACAGCAAGCCGGGAGCAGGAGAGTGTTTGTTTCCCGCCCTGCACGTTAATGCCATCCGCCTCGGTGGCGACGGGGGAATTCCGACTGCGGCGACGAGGACACCGAGCTGCTGGGCTAGCATCACCTCAGCACCATCCTAAGCACTGTTCAAACTATAATTTTTCTTCT